CACCGTTTAATGTCGCCACGAAATTTGGTCACGCCGCCGCCGATTGAGTAAAAAATTGGCAGCGTGAAAGTATTCCTAAATTCAGATAAGCTTATCTTTTCCTTTAAGTAAAATAAATAACATACAGAGTATCTAATAAATGTAACTTATAATCCAAATAATGGAAAAATAGTGTGATTAGATGAATTCTCTACTCAAGTATTGAATTCATTTTGTCGAAATATTTCTCATAATCTTCATCCCCAAAACATGGTAACCACACGCCTTTATAAATAATTTATTACGCTGTAACCTTCTGTAACGATCTGATCAAGTTTCAACTGCCACTTTCGAGATTCGAGTTCTCAATCGGAAATAGCTTGAAATCATGACGTCAAACTGTGTCTGACTGGCACCATTTGGTCACCAATGGTCACATTATGTGTATAAGGTTGCTTCATGTTGCACTTGGGTGATCATAAACGATCTTGAGGGCTTAAGTTTTGGCTTTCGGGATGATGTCAGTGAGAAAATTACAAACTTTGAAAGCGAGTTCTATAATAATGTCGAGAGAAAGCCGACAGGTCCTGTTTAAATCAGAAGTTCTCGGTTATCACAACGAACTGTATAATGAATGTGTACCATCTTACACTAATCATGAGTGGGAGACCATCTGCTGGTGCAGTCACTGTGACTCATGTTAACTTTAATACGTTCTGCACCTGATTGGTTATCTGATAATCGCTCTTCCGTGACTGGTGTGTCTGATGTGACTTTGTTTTTTATAAATTTACTTATAATATGCAGTACGGCATTTTAAATTTTAAAAATCAAAATGGGTTTTTATAGATAAGCACGTCATGTTTTCCAACAAATATTCTCGTACCTTTTTACTTTACATTACATAATAAGATATTATACTAAGTTAAGAATATGACATTCGTTAATTTCTAAGTACCTGCTAAAAAACATGGCCCTGGTTTTTTAGTAACATATTCGAAACAGGATCTATATAAGTTCATTAATGTAATCAAGGTAATTTTAAAAGTTCATTAATGTAATCAAGTTCAGATCAGGGACAAAAGGAAATCGCGGCATGTACGGAATCGCGAATTTCCCCATTTTTTGCGAAAAATGTTATATGTCGTCTAATGTCGCCTGTTTGGCTTGTCGCGGTATCGCGATTTTTGGCCAAAATAATCGCGATTTTCTTTTGTCCCTGGTTCAGATTGGTAATGTTGCGAAATTGAAGTTAAAGCCTGGTGCTCTTTTACAAATCACAGAAATTTTTATAACACATAAACATTTGCCAGATTTATAGTCTGAAAATCAAGCAGACGAAGAGAAGTCCAAACTTTATCGCCTAAATCAGTAAATCATTACAAGAAAAGCGCAATGTTTGTCCCCATTTTGTAGTGCTTCGACTTTCTTTTTCCAGAAATTGCTCAACTAAATTAAATAAGACGTATATAAGAGAATTCTTACGAAGTGGCACAACGAATGTAGCATACTAAACAGAGTTAGAAGTAACAATCACCGTGGAGGACGTAATTATTCGACATGAAACGTATTGATAAATTGTCTCAGTTGTCTCACATTGCAACAATTCGCAATGGACCATCATACTAATCTCTATATCTAAATGGTACATACCAAGTTTTCCTTCCGAACTTTCGACATCGTGTCACGTTCACAAAACAAGGTGTCACTTGCGAGGTCACGTGTGGGCACATAAAGGTGAAGCCAGCACTGGAACAGTGGTACAATGCCCCTCACCCGTGACTCAGGGAAGATAGATACATTACAATGACAATGTTTATGTTCTCTTCACCGTCGTCGGTAATACCACCTTTTTCTTTTACTTGTTCACTCCTTTTATGGGATGATTGTTTACGTTTGGACTCGACTTGATTCACTATCCTATTCTGGATCTAGTTGGTTGCTGTTCGAACCACGTTTTGAATTTCTTTCATTTCGCAATATTTTTTGGTTTCGTGAGATTCGTCTGGTTGGATCAGATTATTTCAATGTTTTAAATTTAATACTTTTGGGCGATAAAAGTTTGCTCTTTACTGTTTTGAAAATGCTCCCGCACAATGCACAAGATCGCTTATCAGTTATGTATGTGTTATAGTTAAAATGATGGAGTAGTTTGATGTTTATTAGTCTCATGATTGAAATACTGATAGTTGGATAATATCCTGTTGGAAGAACCGGAACATATTGATATTATCCAACTATCAATATGTTATAGTGTTATGTATAGTAATAGCAATTATTACTAGCTATGTTCGTTTTGAATTTTGTAATTCATGACATAACTCAAACTAAGGCAGCTGAGAATCATTTCTAATACCCTAAAAGTAAATATAAACTTTTTTATTTTTCCTGTTCTGAGATCATCTGAGATATTTAGATGCAGAAAAACTAATGGCAGATGACAATGAAGTAATAGAAAACAAGGCTGCCGAGTTATCGTCAGAAGAAGAGGAAGAAAACGAAAATGAAATATCTGATGAAGAGGAACAGTCTCCAGACCAAGGATTCTCCTCCGATTTCAACACTGATCCTGTTCCCGGAGACAGTTCCCAGGATTCCCTCCACAGGAATGTTGAGAACGATAAGAATGTTCGTCACGTGAAGAACATATCCGATGGTAACAGTGACAGTACGAATTCTGCGGAGGAGCCGGTCCCGGATGAAGGACGGGATTTAGAGGTTGATATTGTGGAGCCGATAACCAGTGTTGAAGGTCCTGAGTTAGACGGAGTAAGTCACGTGATCTGCTGATAGTCACGTGATCTACTGATAGTCACGTGATCTGTTGATAGTCACGTGATCTGTCACGTGATCTGCTGATAGTCACGTGATCTGTCACGTGATCTGCTGATAGTCATGTGATCTGCTGATAGTCACGTGATCTGCCACGTGATCTGCTGGCGTTACAGCTTGTTGCTAAATTTAGATTTTAGTGATGTACAAGTACAAGTACAATTGTAGTGTTGATTCAAGCTCAATTGAACAAGGCAGACTTAACGTTCAACTGTTCAAGCGCTGACAGGCAAAGTTGTTGATATTATGTAATTTGTACATTGTAGAAGAGTTCCCTTATGTACGTTGGTTTCTGTAAGGTAAAACAAGAGTTGTTGTTGCTAGCTACTGCTGATCATTTGGACCGTTTGCTCGCTGCTAAAGATTTCAGGTTTGGGTCCTCGATATAGAAGGTGATTTGAGCTTTAAAAATATATATTTGCTTAATTTATTATAACTATTTCATTGCTCGTTTTTTGGTAATATAATTTGTGCCAATTAAAGTTTAATAATATGTAACATTTGATTTAAATGCTTATACAAGTAGTTGAATGTTTCGGAATCCGCTTTCGTCAGCTTTGTCGCTTTTTGACGACGACCCTCCCAAAAACCCATCACAAAGTGACGAACAAGTTGACAAACAAGCTGACAAACAAAGTGACAAACAAACTGATGTACAAACAGACAAACAGACAGACAAACAAACTGACGATATCTCTTCCAAGGTATTTTGTAAAATCCATACAAAAATGTTAAATTTGACCATAAATGGTCATTTATTCCCACAGTAAATCAGTCACAAACCCAAATTTCAGCTCTCAGGAGGGCCAGGAGTGAGGTTTGCTACCGATACTAAAAGTATGCCGACCGTACAATTTGAAGAATGTTTAGAACCAGGGGTTCCGACTGAAACGTGTAGTGTAGTGGATAAAGCCACGTGGAGATGGTCTGTCAGCTTGTATGAGTCTGTGAGTCTGCAAGAGTGTGATTTGAGGGTGGTTAATCTTACGGCGTGTTTTAGAATGGCATATTTTGTAGTACAGTGTGTTGTGAACGAGTGATTTTAATCATTTTTACTGAGAGTCAGCATGTTTATTTTTCATTTTTATCATTTTGGAAGTTGAAAAGTGTGATTTTGTAAATGGTATCCGAATGGGTTTAAGTTGGAATGCATGAAGGAAGTGTGACAGGTACAAGCATGGTTTGAAGTGTGTTATTTGCTTGTTATCCTCGTCCCACTCGTTCCACATAACAGCTGTGCCCTACTTTTATCACAACACGCAATGAACACGAACGCCGCAAAATGCGTGCGCACTGCGCAATGATTGCAAGACGTGTGCGCATTGCGCAATGATTGCAAGACGTGTGCGCATTGCGCAATGATTGCAAGACGTGTGCGCACTGCGCAATGATTGCAAGATGCGTGCGCACTGCGCAATGATTGCAAGACGTGTGCACAATGCGCAATGATTGCAAGACGCGTGCGCACTGCGCAATGATTGCAAGATGCGTGCGCACTGCGCAATGATTGCAAGACGCGTGCGCAATGATTGCAAGACGCGTGCGCACTGCGCAATGATTGCAAGACGCGTGCGCACTGCGCAATGATTGCAAAGGGCGTAAGGTGCAAAGATAACATGTCATACTGTTGGGTAAAACAGCACAGTTAACCCATAGCACACTCTCTTTTATACAAGTACTGAAAATACTCACCCATGTTGGGTAATGAGTACTACATAATACCCATATCGGATAGTAACAACCATTATACTAAACATCATGGTATTTGTTTTGGTGGTTTGATAGTGGTTGGTATCATGTTGTTTATCACCAAACACAGTTACACACGCATTGTAAGATAAAACACTTCTTGTTTGCTGATTAAACACGCTTTTGATTTAACTTTTTTAATGTATCTCTATGTACAACTTTGTTTTGAAGCATGCTTGTTTCTTTAAATGTAAACCCTTTTTGGTATTAAGCTTTCGGGATTTTATATAGCATGATATAGCAAGATATAGCAAGATATAGCAAGATACCATTTTGATGTGTTGAAGTTAGATTGTTACTTAAAAACATATAACGACTTGGTGACAGGTGACAAACACCACTAAAATAATACAACTCAATCTCTTATCATCACATCGGTGATAATATAATAATTTGTTTAATTTGGTCCTTGTAACTTTGTAATATGATCCTGTTTTCAGTTACCTAGTCGGACAAGACACAGTTCAAAGAAAAGGAGAGAAACTAAGCAGGAGGTAGGTGTGCTTTATTTCATACATTTCAAAGTCTCATATTTTTACTTTTTACTTAACTTTAAATTATTTTTATTAGGGAAAAGCTTGAGGGAAGATGACAGTTGCATGCAGAAAACTAGTTTAAATCGCCAATGCACAATCTGAAGTTTGTGAACCTCAACTAAGCCTTTCACTTGTTACATTTGAACGTAATATTATGATGATATCTGGTTACCAATTCAGAGCACATGGTTCAACGGACAAAACTTGGATTTTGTCAAAAAAGTGTTTTTGCCATTTCTGTTAAGAAAAGTTATGGAATAGTTTGACATTGTCTTACTATGACAATCATTGTGTTGTTTAGAATGATATGGTTTGAGCTTAGAGGTTAGTCTTAGAGGAATTTGAGTGCGTCAATAAAGTTGATGAGACATGGTAGATCCTTCATGACACAATATCAATTCAGTTTTCAATATCAGAATCAGACGTTATAGAAGAGGTTTGCATGAAGTGTAAAAGTAACCACTAATTATATTTCGATTAGTAAAAGTAACCACTAATTAATAATTATATTTCAATTAATTTGTTACATTATTACTTAACTGTGTGATTGTTGTGTATTTTGAAGGTTGATTATTATCGGTTGTGGGAGTTTGTTCAATCATATTAAACAGAAATGGTTTCTTAGAGTTCGTTGATAATCTCATTAAAGGTTCTGCTGAATTATTTATAAATAAACCCATGCAGAAAGATCGAAAAATGATTATAGAGAATTATAAACTTTCTTGATACACCTCCAGATTGGCAACTGTATTTTCATGCATTTGAAAACTTTGCTACTCAACAGTAAATTAGCAGCTACTTTCAAGTCATAAATTTGTTGTTGGATGAAACTTACACTGAACATTACATAACCGTTTTGAGTTTTAGCATGAGATTTTAAATAGTACTCTGCAAAGTCAGCCTGGATCTCATCTAATAATAATAATTTTTATCAATGAATTTGATCCCTCTTCTATCACCTACTCTAGACAAGACTTGTTCACATAGATCTTATTACCAAAATTCCTAGGCCACATATTTAGAATATTCCTATAACAAGACTGCAGGGATGTATGTTTATCAGCCCTTTGTTTACGGTGCAAATAATACACTGTCCTGTAACATGAGCCTAGGCTTAAGGCGTGTTGACCTGTTACCTACCTGGTACATATAACACACTTTTGGTGTACTGTAATGTAAAGTCTTGTTCCTAATCTGGATTACTGATTATCATTATCTGCGGTTAGAATGTGTGATTTGAATGTTTCGTGCGTGGTATTCAATAAAACTCGTTAAAAATAGAGGACTCTAATTTCCAACGACCAAATGAATCTGTTATAATACTGTACAGTTTTGTGGGCTGTCCAAGTTAGGGTCAGTTAATTTGACCTGTAGTACAGTACAGTTCGCCAAAGTGAAGTAGAATTTCACATCGTCCAGTTATGTTTCACAAGGTACAGAACTTACCCCAGTTGTAACTTTGTAACGAGCACCTATTTTACAGGAAACTGGTGATCAACCTGGACCGTCACAAGATGGAGATGTGGAGATGCGTCCCGTCTCCTCTGGTAGTCTCAAACGTACCACCTCCAGTCGGCGCAGCGTGCGGGGCACTCTCAAAGCCCGCAGTCGGCGCAGCGTAAAACGGGGGCCTGGCGAGAGTTTGAACATTATGGATAGGAGGACACTCAGAAGGGAGGAACTCAATCAGGTAAAAATTGATAAAATTAGTGTAGATTGGTTCGTAAACAAAATTATATTTCATAATAAAGTTCACTCCTTGAACTTACAATTCTTGATCAAATGGAAATGTGCTCAATCTCAACACAAGGAAATATTTTAAACATCCTGATATCCACTAGATGGAGCAGTTTGAGATAAAGAGTTTGCCTCTTTGTACCTGGTTGGGGTACAATATATCCTTAACCGTGCAGAGATCGTGGCAGAAATTCACGGAGGGCCTTAACGATTACAAGTAAGGACTAATCGCTGTGTCGATTTTATCATTGTCATGTATCGATATATTCGTGCATTTTATTAATGTTTGAAAGTTTGAATATATTCTAGAATAATTAGATGCATGAATGAAATGATGATTCAATAAATCCGTATAATCGCAATATTTTAAATTACGCAATCCTAACTATTCTGTATGTTGGTCCAGGCACCGTCACTGATTGTTTTTTATAACAATAACCCACCAAATATAATCAATGACTGCTGACTCGATTGATTAACCCGCAGGATTTGGGGCGGACCAATCCGAGAAGTTGAAGGAAATCTTGGTTCTGGAGTCTCAACATACTTTCGTGTTCTGAGATGGCTTCTGAAAATCAACTTTCTGAACCTTATCGTGGCTCTGTCCTTTATCACCGTTCCTGGATTATATGTAAAAACCTACAGTTTCATTATCTTTATCATGACCTACACTTTCATTACCTTTATCATGACCTACACTTTCATTATCTTTATCATGACCTACTCTTTCATTACCTTTATCATGACCTACACTTTCATTACCTTTATCATGACCTACACTTTCATTACCTTTATCATGACCTACACGTTCATTACCTTTATCACGACCTACACTTTCATTACCTTTATCATGACCTACACTTTCATTATCTTTATCACGACCTACACTTTCATTACCTTTATCATGACCTACACTTTCATTACCTTTATCATGACCTACACTTTCATTACCTTTATCGTGACCTACACTTTCATTATTGTTATAATAAGTTTCCACCTGATCTATTGTACAAGTAAATTGTACCCAGGTCATCAACAGTTCCGACCATCTGTACCAACTATCATTTCGATATATATTGTTATTTTCTAATATTTAATGGTTCTTTTATGAGTTTGTACTGGTACTTTTCCAGACGTTACACGGCCAGGAGGAAGGAATTCACACGCCAACACTGTACAACGCAGATAACCTGACGTGCACAAATCCTAACTTTTTGAATATCACTGATGCACCGATATGGCACAATTATGCCAATACTTTGCTACAGTTTTTAACCGGAACGGTGAGAATTTATTTTCTATCCTGTTTGCATAATTTGAATTCTTGATTGATTTTTAAATCTTCAATCTCAAATATTCTCGGACATATCAAGACAATTGTACAAATCAAAGCTTATCTTCGGCTGTACTTAACTTTTATTCTATTGCTAAATGCTATTCTACAAGTAACACAGCTCCAAAATGATGCTTTCGCACATAATCCTGTGGAAGTTGGAATATTAATCACACTAAAAGCTTCCAGACTGTTAATTTGCGCGTGCACGACATCCATTAATGTAGACAGATATGAATTGCTCAAAGAAGTCCTTGAACAATTACCAAATCGTGTTCACTTAAAATCAAAACTTAGACCTTCTCGCAAACTTTCCTATTGCTAGTTTTGTTCGGAGTCTTTATGTTAAAGTTTACTAACGTTAAAGGTGCGCGCAAAATTAAAATGCTGCGCTGCGCTGGCATACCATGCGTAAATGTGTTTCGTCTTTCAAAAGAAATACCCAAAACTGGGTTTGTATTGGATGGGTATTATAACCCAACTAACTTGTCCTATTTCCAGGGTTGGATGGAAAAGACACCACTTTATATTGGATGGTATATGCCCCTGAATATAACTAATAAAAACGTAAGTTTCGTCAGTTTTAGTTGAACAATCTTTTCTTACACAATAATATTGCACTTTTTCGGTTTTCACTATATTTAAGACGCGGTAGATAAATTTCGATATTTTCACTATTTTCAATTGCAGATTAAATACAGAGAATCTGGTTGTAAGCCAGATGATAGATACCGATGTCGAACTTTCGACAATCCAATCGAGGGAGAGGGTGACGAAGCAAAGAGAAAATACAATGAAATAGAGTTTGATGGGGAAGATAAGGATCACAAGGAGGATTTTACAGAGGGAAAGTTAGATTGTGGTGAGTGATATTTCCTGGCTTGTTGTCAAATAATCTGCGAAAAGAATTTCACCACTTTGGTTGTTGTTAGTGTGTACTGATATTGCCTAACGTTTTATCTAATTTATTTACCTAACTTATATATCACATTACTAATAAAAGTGTTTTGACTGCCTTACACTGTTATACGTGATTAATATAAATGTATGAGCAATAATATTCTCTTCTCACAGATATCAACTGTCCAACCACAATAGATAAAACACTGTCTGCAGAAGAAAGGCAACAATGTTCAATAAAATGTTACAAATGTGGCGATTCCTGTGATGATATTGATAGATCCGTGGCTCGGTGGTTATCGATGTGTCTGGTGATGATGGGAAGTATACATGTTTTAATCTGGGTGAAGACGCTACATTCGGGGCGGCAGATTGCCAGTTTTCTTTAATCAAGGAAGATTTGGGTCTCAAGTGCGACACGTGCAGGGTTGGTCGATTGATTCACTTTCACTTACTTTCCTTTAAACTTATATTAATAGACGATTGTTATGATTGTTCGGTCTCTATTTTCATTGATGTTATAATTGCCCAATTTCCAATAATAATGACTGAAATTCCTGCAGAGGCTCGGAATTGTTTACAACTTTGCTCTGGCATATGTCTTGGTCGGACTTTCTTATTTCCTACTTTCTCTCCTATTCATTATCAAAAAGTAAGCATTCTTTTCATTAAAGAAAAATTAACATTTGTATTGATAAGTGAATTCAATCGAGTATGTATAATACATTTTTTTGTCCATTAAAATTACTCCTACAGATTAGAAGTATGGATGATAACGAGCAACTGACAACTATTTATCTTCAGTATGATGAAACTGTTCAAGAAATCAGCTATCGAAATAGTTGGGTACAATCCGTACTCTGAACTAGTGTTCGGAGGATGGGATTACAACATAGAAAACAAAGAGTCAGCCATCCTCAAGAGCAAAAGTATTTTAAAGGTTAGGATATATCTACATTAATAACATTCGCTCATATATATCCAACTGTTTCACCCTTAAATCAGGAGTCCTGAGCTAGCTGTCCAGAGCTCCCATACCCAACTGTTTCACCCTTAAATCAGGCGTCCTGAGCTGTCCAGAGCTCTCATATCCAACTGTTTCACCCTTAAATCAGGAGTCCTGAGCTGTCCAGAGCTGTTTCATTCCCAAGGATTCTTTAAACCTCTCTATTGACTATTCTTTATAATCGTACAATGTCCCTTAATTTTCAGAGTCTAAAAGAAGAATTAACTTCGGACGATCAAAAAGAGAAACTGGTTTCAACTAAAGAGAAAGTTCTTCTAGCTCTTCTGAGGATGTTTACCAATGTGCTTTGTTTAGGTATGTAGAATATGTAAAATATGTTTAGGTATGTGAAATATTTTGAAGCTTGGAGAAGGGGTAATTTTTAAGTTGTTACGTTGTTTCCTCACTTTTTTTTACAGCGTTCAGAACTAATACCCGAATTCAAACTGAATTGTTACAGTTAATTTCTGTTTTTTTACATGATGTTGTGTAGAAAAATGTGATTTTAACCGATCACAACTATAGTTGATGTACTAACATAAACTTAATTAACCTATTAATTAAGCATACAAACTCCCCTCAGCGGCCATGGGTGGAGTGTTTTACTTGTACTATGATGTGTATGATAAGAAAGAGGCAACAAATCCTTGTGGATCACAGGATGGGGATACAATTGATATCAACAATATCACATCAGAGTCACTCAATGGAATGTGGAAATCTTACGGGCCTGCTGTCATCGTTTCGGCAAGGTTTCATTATTATCTATTCCTTACTCGGGAATATTATAGCGGGTTAATTTATGACTGGGAAAATTAATGACTGGGAAAAATATGGCGGAATTTTACAAAACCCACCACTTTATCCCAGTCATAATATTTCCGAGTAAGGTATTCTTTATCCGAACTCTGGCTTAAATATTGTAATTTGTAGATTTATAACCTATCAAGACGCGCGCCGAGTTGGTAAATATTTGGAACAAATATTTAATACGAGTATCACCCGTTAAATCGTCATCTAGCTCAATAAAAAATGTAATTGGGCTGATATTGTCAACCTCATGTAGAATCCTACTCATTGTACATTACAAACTTACAATTTCAGTAACGTGATATTTCCGATATTTTTCGAGTTTGTCGGAAACATGGAAATGTATCAGTTCCAATCCACTCGGATTAACATAACGATGGCACGGTCCTTTGTGACAAAACTATTCAGTGTTGTAGCTTATCTCTACATATTGTATGATACTATCCAAGTAAGTTTTTGATCAGAATCTAGATATTATTATTTGGCAGAGTTTATACGTGTTATATAACACGCGAAATTGGTCCACTTATTTGACTGGATGCTTATTGCTCTAAGTCTGAAATTAAATCGCCATTTTCTCATTAAATTAAACTGTATCACCCACTACAAAAAAAATATCGGTTTTTCCTCATTAGTCAAACTCTCCCAAATGCTGACTTATCATGGGGTTTTTGTCCGTTTGGCGGCTATATTTTCAAAACGGACAAAAATAAACGGACAAAAAATAACATGATCCCCCCCCCCCCCCCTTATCATTTATCTCACCTAGAAAACACAAGATAAGGACGCTCCGAAGGATACAGATTGGACCTATAACTGCTGGGAGAACTTTATAGGAACTGAACTTTACAGGTACCATCAGCATGTTCTGATTTACTGATAATTCAATACTTTACAACTTCAGTACATGAGACTTGAAGTAGTACGGTTAACATTTGGCCATTTTAAAATCTAATGTGATCTTCTATTTTCCTACAAAGTACATGCGTATTTTGTATGGACAAATTCAATTTATACTAAATTATTAAATTATCAATACAAGTGATTACCATTTAATAACCAATTTTGTTTACAGCTAATTTTAAACTTGACTACCCTGCAGGCTGATTATAATTGACTTTGCGGTGTTTGTGATTGCCCTGTTAACGACAGAGTGGTTAAGGCGGTTAATGGTCGAAAACAACCGTTTTATTCGGGAAAAACTTGGTATGTTCAGTTTAAGATTCCGTTCAAACTTTAAACAATCAATTTATTTGCTAGATGTAATACTGGAAATAAGGTTATAAGACCATCATTATATTTGTTTGACAAAGTGATAGTAACCTAAAACCTCTAACACCTAATCCCTAGCACCGACCCTTATGTACGGCAGTGTTAAACAAGGAACTGAAACCGAGGGGTTCCGTTCAGGCCCTTCACACTTTGTTTCTGTCTGGTTCTAATATACCGTTAGAATAATGACTTTAATATATAATCAAGAGTGCTAGCACCGACCCTTGTATTATCTCCACGCCATTTTAACCAACTTGAATAGATATTATGAGTGGTGTCCTAAATATTTGTATTTGAATTAAATAAATGAACAATGGGAAAATGACGAGTTTTAACATCAAAAATCATTTCACAAGCAAAAATGAGTTTCAATAATCTTATAATAATTAGAACTGTTAAAGTGATTCAGACGCAACAGTGCACGACCTCAGTCCTCACCTTGTAGTATACGTTTATTGTCCACTTCTTCGTTTCTTTCTGTTCTTCATCAATTTCTTACCTCTAAGTTTCGCAACCCTCTGGGCTCTGATCTTATCTTTAAAGTCGTCCATCCTGTTTGTGCCCTACCATCTCCCCTCTCCGCGCCTCTCTCCTCTTCTGTACATCACTGTTATATCCTGAGTGTATCAGTGTACAATAAACTGGTAATACTGGAGGTCAAATCTGATTAAATTCTGGTTATAGAAACTCTACCTTTTTTGGTAAATGCAGGACTGAGTGATATTCCTAAAGTAAGTAAGTAACTCCCTCATGTTAACATAACAAATTTTGCCAGGTATAACTCAGTTCAACATAACAAAGGAAGTGTTGGACATATGCTACAAACAGATGATATTTTGGAGCGCACTTTTCTTCAGCCCTCTGGTGTCTGTGGTGGCGTTTGTCGAGATTGTTCTCATGTTTTATTTCAAGAAAATAAGTGCACTAAGGTTTGTAAACGTACTTCAGGATTTCAATCATTATTTCAATAAGTTTACTTATTATTGGAAGGTTTAATTTATTTAATTGAAAGTTTAACGTTGGCAAACTTTTAAATGCCTGCACTTTGACTTACGACTGCAAAACAAGGACAGATAAAATCTGTAGATTGTTTTATCCATTCAAATTTAACATTAAAAGAATCTGAAATATTTCTCTCCTCTAGGAATGTGAGACCCCCAGAGAAAGTCATACTCAATTCCTCAAGCTCCAGTATAATCAACATAGTATTCATAATATCTCTACTGGTGGTGTTTGTACCTATTGGGTTGATAATCTTCACCTTTAATCCGAGTAGCGAGTAGGTTTTTTTTTTAAATTTTTTATTATTATTATTTTTTTTAGCGAGTAGGTTGTCAATAGTTGTTATAACAAAAAGTCTTGAACAAGATATCATTTTTTCTAAATGATATGACAGAACGTTTTTAATTTTAGATGTCGGTTTTCCAAAAATTGATCATAAATGAGATTAAATTTAATAATGCAATATTCCGATGTTTTGATTTGAATTTTAACTCCTCGCTGTGCTTCAACTAAAACTCATCGATATTTTTTTTCAGCTGTGGACCATTCCAGGGTCACGATAAATTTATAGATCCACTCAATACTATCATCGATAAATCAGGTATGCAAAAAATTGGTGGGGAATCGTCATTATAACAGTCAAAGAATCTTGCCATTATCCAAATTCTTGTCCAAAATAACAATTAATCACTCAAAAATATGTAGCTTTCAGCTTCTAATTTGCACTAATCAAATTAATTAATAAAATTAATTTGCACCATAATTACCTACATCATTATCAGGCTCATTTAAAGAAATCATCTTGGATAACCTAAAGATGACATCTGTAGTTGTGGTAATAGTGGTGGTAACGGTGATAGTAATCCATTTCTTCTACTCACTCTCCGCTGCAAGGCAGCTTACTATACAACTCTTACGGGAGCAGATCAAGGTTTGTGGTTTTGTTTGTTTGTTTTTTAAATAGAACCCGTCCCCAATCTCGTACCGGAAAATGACTTAACTCAGGTCTGAGTGTGGATACGGGTGGTATTATTGTGGTTTTATTGCAAGTGTAATTATGAGATAAGTTTTATGCTGATGCCACGTTTCTTTGCAGACAGTCAACCACCATTGACTGATGACCATACAAGGAATAATCGTTGTCTAAATCTCCAGCGTCAGCCTTGTGAGACCACCAAATATTCGTTATCAGTTATTAATATTGAATCGGTCGCTAAGAAAATGTCACATAAAAGCTCTCAAATTATGATAAAACGCATACATCATGCACAATACAGCGTTTGTAGTATGGGGTCGTTCACATATTACGTAATCACTTTTTGAACAATTTTTAAATCTGTCTAGCCTAAAGACTGAACTAACACAAAAGTGATACGTTTATCTCATATATTATATCTTATATCCCTCCATCTAATCTGATATTATGAAATTAAAATTACCAAGACTCTTTCTGACAGGTGGAAAATGCTGATAAGAAGTTCCTGATCGAACAGATGAAGAATAGCAGAAACCCTCAATCTAGCAGTGAACTTATAGCTGAAGATAAAATTGTAAGTCTTTTTTTTCTGTTCACATTACTTGTAGTCTAATTGATTAGTAGTAGTACTACGTAATAATTTCGGCGGAAAAGCGCCTGTCTGTTCATTGATATATAATACCGCTTTTTAAAGATTTATATTTACCACTTTTAAAAGATTTATATGTACCACTTTATTATAATATCAACAAATATAATTGACTGTACTATAATATCAGACTCAGATGTTGCCCTCAAATAGTTTACATCGGTGACTTAGTATAGGTAACTACTGGCACTGGTTTGGAAACTATGAATACACACTTTTTATAAAGGGATTGAACTTGGGATTATACTGACACCAAGTTATGCTTTGTGTGTTAAGGCCACAGGGGGGGGTCCGAGGTCGATTTTGAGATTTTGAGATATGTTGTAGAGCTCGATCTAAATTTTCAAATGCTTTTGTCCTTACCGAAAACAAAGTTTCCTATTTGAAGATATCGCGCGTTGAATTTTGAGGTTTACCTGTAATTCTATTGTAAATGAAAACTTTAAATGAAATCGTGTTCAAAATCTATCTTCTTTTTCAGTTTATGACTTAGAACCTTGTAACTTGGCAACAATGTTCTTCAAGGTATTTTGAGTTTTTGTTATGTAACGATTTATGATATCTTGCTCCAAAGCTGAGATATGAGGTTAACCATGAGTGCGGGTTACAAAATTTAAAATGGTTAACCTCATAAAAAGAGTTAGGAGCAAAATTACAACAATCGTTACATAACAAACTTTTAAATTTATGTCAGGAACATAAGTTCCAAATTTGAGGTGAAATGGATAAAAACTCTAGGAGAAGATAGATTTTGAAGTCAAAAATTCGTGGTTTTCAGGAGAGGCAAAAAACTGTTTTTTATGTTATGTGATTTTTGAGAATTTTGCCTTTATTTGTATATTTTTCAAAGTTTAACTGTTGAAATAACACAAAAACAATAAAAACAAAGCCTATCGTAGTTTTCAGTTGTAATGGCATCAATATTTCTGCCCTCCATTATCGATTTATCAAAAAAATGAGGTTAAATGAGAATTGGTTAACCTCATTTATAAAAAAAAGTAAAATAGCTACAGACAAATGAGTGGTGGCAAAGTATCCACCACAAAAATATATATTGATTCAAAGCATAATGTTTTTTTGCATTTTTTGAGGCCTCGACCCCCCCCTGTGGCCTTAAGCACTATTTTAAGTTTTATTGAGGCAGGTTTTCAAAATGAAGCACTGATGAAGTAATCCCCAGTAATCCTCATTTCGATCTTGGATTTGCTTTCAGTTTTAGTCCTATTTGTACTTCAACTCACACCTTATTAAAGAATCTAGCAGTAGCATCTCTGAATTCTGATCTCACGTTTTTATTCATTTAACCATCCACTTCACTCACATCACATAACAGGTCCACTTCAAAATCCTCTCTCCAACACCAGTAGACAAAACCAGAGTCCAACACAACTTGGTTTGGTATCAGTCCAAATTTGATGTAAGCCAAACGTTCATATAAGCTTAATTATCACCTCATTCGCATTATTTCATTCCTTATCACTTATTATTATCGGCCACAAAAATATTGGCAAATTTCCAAAATCCAGCGTTTTAAGAAGCCCATTAATATATTGAGTGAATTGTGAAAGCATTTTTCTTGTTGCGATACGCCGCGAATTTTCAAATCCTCCCAAATCCATTCCATGTCAACGTGCTCAACTTTGTAGGGTCGTGTATTACGTGCTCGCCCTTATGTAGAGTTGTGGCCCAACTGTATTTATAAAATCTAACACGATTTTCACTTCAGCCGGATAAGGGAAAGAACAAGAAGAAGAACTCCAACGTAGTAGGAAGCTACGCTAACCCTAACGTCAGGAAAAAAAGATAACAGACATTCGGACATTCCCTGAATATTTTGCTAAATATAACCTTAATTTCCCTGACATTAATTCCCAGACTATTGAACACCTTTGGTTTTCAGGACCAATTAATTGAAGAAAATATACTTCGACAGACTTCGGTAGAATCCGGAAGAGTTTGAAATCGTGAATTAAATTTTGTATCTGTACGGAACACGTGAATAAAGCGTATTTGAGGATTTCTATGTAAATACATTAGGGGTCGTTCACATATATATAACGTAATCAGCCTAGGGGGGTTCTATATGATTACGCTAGTGTTATTTTGATACAATAGCTATGTGTAAAACTGAGGGGGGGGGGGGGGTAAAAATTGTTCAAAAAGTGATTACGTAATTTGTGAACGACCCAGGTTAAACCATTAGGTTTTTGAGGCATCAAACTGTAGCATTGCGTCACTGACACACAGTCTGAACCTCTAATAGATGTTTGAAAATGGACGGTATACTGGCAGAGTTTTTAAATTATCCTTTGTTAAATCTGCACAAATTTTATAGCACAAATTCTCGGTTTGAGCTGAAAAATATGCAGAGTTCAACTTTTTCATAGGTGATGTTTTAGTGGATATCACATCTTCACACGAATTTATTTAGGGATTTTCATTACCAAGAATGGAGGTTTGTAGTGAAGCAATTTTTTGGAACGCATTTTGTGAAATTTTTATCATTTTCTTATCATTAAACAATAGTGTCTGTAGTACTGTAGTTTCTACCAAGGATTGTTAATTTGGATATTTAATGTTATGCTGATGTGGAAATGCTTATGCTTTTGATTTTTATTACCAACTGATACCTGTAGTGTCATCAGTTAATGAACCTTTCTTAAACTAATAGTTAATCAGATTAAATAATTCTTTACATTAATTAGTAAATCAATGAATATTCAATTTGTTTAATACCGCTGTATAGATGATTGTACCTAAATGACTCATGAACAATAATGTTCGTTACTTATTTGATTTGATTTAATTACAATTGTATTACGTTAATTATTACAGACATTGAGAGATCGATTTTCAGTTTTTTTTTCAAAACCCACATGCTTGTTTCATTTATTTGGTTTTGAAAATAAAGATGAACACCAAAACGCTGATGATTTATTGGGTAAGTTTTGAAGTGTATAATTGAAAATTCACACCATTTGCTTTATTAAACATTAGCAAAAGTCTTGCTCCCAAAAATAAAGGAGAGCTTGAGACCTCTTACGAAAGATTGATTAAAAATTATGGAAACTAGTAAAAGTAAATGTGAAACACAAGATAATATTTGTATCATATCTCGGTCCGGATAAAGGAACCAATTAATTAACGCTAAATTAAATTGCATATATATTGTTTTAAAGTATAAATGTTTTTAACGACAGCTTATTGAGAAAATGCTTGATCTTCGATACGAGATGCGACCTGAAAATATTTCCATATTAGAATTAACAAGATCAAACATATAATAAATTACAGGTGTCGGAGGAAGGAACAAATTTTAAAATTCAATGATGGTTGTAAGAAAACCAAGATTTCAAGGACCCAAAAATTCCTATTTAATACAAAAAACAAATGAATATCAATAGAAAAATATTCTTAAAACCAACCTTATTGCTGTTTGAATTGTTCGAGCTCTTCCTTGGAATGGAAGTTGATACATTTTAACTTTCTAAAACATTTCACTCCCCAGGGGCATTTACGAGATCCATTAGGAAGTTTCTGAAATATTATTCTTTAAACATATTTTATTATGTATATGTGCTTGTCATGAATAGTTCGAATTCCGGACCATTTGAATAAAAAAATCTAAATTTAGCAATAATTTGTGGTTCCGTAATTAAAGGCACCATTTAATCATACTGTCGTATTTGTAGTAAGCAATTGAACACGAGAAACAAGTTAATCCGGCTCTAATTTATTTTAGGACTAGCTTATTTAAGCGACTCAAGCATTTCAATAAATTCAATGATGCATGACGTGTCCGAAGAAATGTAAAAATAAACAACAACAATAACATACCTGTTTGTTAAACTCATCATGGTCTTCAGGAGAATGCCATCTGCTACATTCCATACCAAATAGACATCTCCCCCCGTAATTACACTTCTGTAAAAGTTAGCTAATATTAGGATAGTCAAATTGACAGTCAACTCACAAGAGAGTGATAAGCTAAGACAGTCTTATGTTTAAGTCAGGTGAGATGATAAGGATATATCAGATAGCACAAAATGTGATAAAAACGTGATTTCATAGTTGGGTGTAGGTTGTTTTGACTCGGTGATGCAACGTAAGCAATTCTGCCTGATTGCGTCCCAATAATTTAAATTTAAGTACTGTATTTACTTCTTAATCTCATTTCGCGCGAAAGATGTAAATGCTGACGACAATCTAACATTCACAGCTAAAGTTAAATCGGCGTTCGCGCGTTCCATAGCTAACGGGAATTCACTATTTCAGTCTTTGTTTTTGGGCTATTAATATCCCGTAGTCGTGGAATGGCAAAGTTGAATCGGGCAACGCTACGACGCAAATGTCGCTGTAATGTAATGTAGGAAACAGAAGTGCAATGGTCACGGTCGTATCAGCAAAATCCTTCAACCCGGTTATTGGTTATTGTTTGGCTATTTAAAATTTGCATGCAAGAGAGGTTCTGCATGTTCTATGTTGCTATAGCAACTTTGATTAGATTCAAAATCACGTACTTGGATAAAAGCTAAAAAGGCATGTGATGATGTTTAGAAATTAGTCGGGCATCAAAAATGTTTGAAAACTTAAAAACACGTACCATCGAATGACATTGTAAAGAAGTTATTGAAATATTTGTATCAATGGTGGAGAATTATAATGCATGATGAATTAGATTAGATAACTGAGCCGTGTGCAGCACATAAATATTAAATATATGCAAAATATTATAAATCCAATAAACTGCCAAGTAAAATTTAATCAACTGTTTTAAACGTTTTTCATTTTAAAACGACTAATTGAAGACGAAATTAAAATTTAATCAGCTAATAATGGACGGTTACACAATAGGAAATTGACGTCGCGACAAAAACCGAAAAATCTTTTTGCATTTTACCGCATTCCGCTACATATGATTCTTCAGAATTAAAAGTCGTACATTAATGCAAACATGCTGAGAATTCTACCATGGTAACCATTATATTATATTTAACTCAATTAAATTACATGTTACGTAACTCAATTAAATTACGTTACATGTAACGCGTTACATGTAACGCGTTACATGTTACGCGTTACATGTTACGTACCTCTACACCAGCAGGCGGCTGAGAAGGCATCTTATTGACCGGCTTGTTGGACTTGGACTTCTTGTTGCACACAACCTGGTAAATAGTTAGAATTTAATTAGAATTCAGTTATAATTCATTTAGAATTAGGTGAAAACACTTATTATCTGTAATATAAAATGTAAGGCTAAGTTAATAAATTGGAGGGGTTCTGAAAAATTAGGACGTGTTGTTGTTAACAGGTAATGGCAACACAGAGACAAATATTTAGTTTCGAGCATTTGTTGATTTTATTTTGATACCCCCTGCCCATACCGTAGAATCATTATTATTAAAACAAGAAAAAATATCACGTCAGATTATCAGTTGATTGGATAATTACCTAATTAGCTAATTACCAAAAGTTTGAATAATTTGTATTAAGTGACCGAAATTGCATATAAAACAACGAGAAACGCAGATTTTAGAAAATCTGATTGCAGGAAATTTGGCAGAATTGTTATTGTTATTTGATAATGTTTGGTTTGATTGAGGACACCAATGATCTGATATGCGGCCTGTAATAAGATCAACATTCAACAAGCCAAAAGAAGAGCCGGTAATTAATTATTCAATTAAAATTGCCTGTAGAAACATCTAATGTTGCAAGATATCTGCATTCTAATGAGGGAGCACTAAGAGATTAAGATTATCACATACGAACTTTTGATTATGGAATTTTAAAATCAAAGGTTCGTATGTAATGTGATCCTGGCCTCTTACTACTCCTACGGAGATATGCTAATCCTGCAACATTGTTTTCTGCAACCTCACCGACTGCAGGCAATATAAATTAAACAATAACTATTGAATTAACGGGAAACATAATAATTATTATTATTTACTAAGACCGTCTAAGGTGAAAGGTTTTAAACTGAAAATCGTTAACCACTCATAAGAATTTCAGGAATAATCACAGTACAGCCTTAGTCGGTAACCTGCTGTATTTTAAAGATGTAAAATTACTTTGTACAGGACACATACCTAGTGGGACTCATGAATGTCAAAAATCTTTTGAAAGCAAGTTGCATCGGTAAATCGATTTTTTTCCAGACGGATCTGTCTGTACTAATAATAGGCCTTCCTTATCTACCATGGAATAAATTATCCAGCTAGTTGAGCTATTTGAGCGGGAAATTAATCTTGGCTCCTTAAAATATTCAAATATTTCCCCTTTGAAGTTAAATGTGGTCACAAAGCGTAGTTCAAATATCTTACACCATTTTGTGTAAAAGAATCTTATTTCAGATATGACCTCATAGCCACTTGAAGTTATTAATTGTTCTCAACTCTTCTAGTAGTTATTTGATGAACATCTACTGCAAAAATCTCCTCGGCAATTAAGTAAACAATTAAAATAGCTCCAGTATAAACAGAGAGCGTGTGCCAAACAAGCACATTGATCGCGGCTTCAAGTGTAATCAAAGTGGCGTGCTATAATAATAGATATTAGAACATTTCTAGTTTGAATTTAGAAAATCTTACAGTGATATCATGTATTTAAAACAATGTTGTCTAACATTATTTAAAACATGAAATAATAAACAGCGTCATCATTATATTACATGTAAAACAATACTACATATATTGGCGAGAGTTTTACTTTTACATCTTGATAAAATTTATTGTCTCGCAAATAAGAAATTGGTTAATGGTAAAAACACGTTCCAGGTCTATCATATTATGCTCGTATTATAAGATAAGTAATTGTTTAATTAATTTTACTTGCTCACGAGGTCGACTATTACTAGGATATTAGTTTAAAATTATTCAGAAAATGTTGTATACATGTCCTTCATACTATATATGAATGACATAAATAGAGTATTTTCTATCCACGAACGCGTTAAAAAAGTTAATATACGAGATCATGGAGATGAGTATTCTAGGTGAAACTATTGAATCTTGTCAAACACAAGGATATATTTCATGTGTTGCTATGAAAGCAAACTTTACATCGTTGAAGCTAGCAGTTAACACTCTGTGTGAGATCACATAGACCTCATTCAATTTTTCATACTGCTACAAAGAAGGTGAAGCAATCCTTGAAATCAGAAGATTCATAAACAAGGGGCGCATCACCTACACACATTAACTACGATAACTGATAAGAACTAATAATGAACATGTAAAATAAGTGTCTGACTTAATCCAAGATTTCGAAAAGCGAATTTATTGCGGAATGACATGACGTGTAGAAAATACGAAAGTTATGGTGATCTCACTACTGCATTTCATTTGTTTTACATTAGAATTATAATTATAATTATAATCTAATTTACATTAAATATAAGAATGTGGTTGGGCTGTGATTTTATCGACCATGAATACCAAGCATATAAGCAGATATTTGAATTGACTAGATTTCCACTGGTAAGCGATTCGGAAAATCATGGGCCGGCATAGTGCCGGGGCGGGTATGATCCGCCAACCTCCGAGTTACATGCCTGGTGCTCTACCAATTGAGCTACCGGCCCTATTCGGCTCAGGAATTTCTTGCACGCCTATCAGTAAGCAATCGTGTCGTTATCTCATATCTGCTGCTATTAGTACACTGCATTATATGCACCTGGGATACTCACTGCCATATTTGTGAGTGTGCATACTGTGTGTAATGTTTTTAATTTGCGATTGGGGAGGCGGATTATCGTTGTGAAGTACTGTACTACTCACGAAGTACTGTACACGATGTTTTCAACCCACGAGTCAGAGAGCAAGCTCAACTGACGGCTCCCAAGGATGTCGTATGCACATGTGATCTGGTCAAGAATGTGGTTGGGCTGTGATTTTATCGACCATGAATACCAAGCATATAAGCAGATATTTGAATTGACTAGATTTCCACTGGTAAGCGATTCGGAAAATCATGGGCCGGCATAGTGCCGGGGCGGGTATGATCCGCCAACCTCCGAGTTACATGCCTGGTGCTCTACCAATTGAGCTACCGGCCCTATTCGGCTCAGGAATTTCTTGCACGCCTATCAGTTATAATAATTACATTAAATATGTTATTCAGTTACTATAGGACATAAAATAAAACTGAAAGCTACAGTTAAACCTTTACATCTAACCATAAAGTTACAAATTATCTTAAGGGACAACAAACGTTTTGTTGTTCCTTTAGATAATTTGTAACAAAACTTACAAATATAACTTTGAAACTTTTTTAGATAACTTAAGTCAATTTGTAACCAAAGTCAAATCATACCTGAAATCCACCGGGTCTAACATTAGTAATGACAGATCTCTTAGGCATGGAATAATCAAAATCGTCCAGCTCGCTGACTTTCTTGCCAACACAAGCAGTAACGACTGGCTCAGGTACCGGCTCAGGAATTCTTTGCCTCTGGTCCAGGTAAGGAGGAGATTGCTTTTTAAATTGTTGTGCAGTAGAACTGAGGAATGTTTATTATCAGTGAATTGAACCAATACTTTAGTCTGTATAAAATCATGGATTAGCTCGATTTAGAGGCCTCTTGAAAGAAGAGAAAAGTTACAATAAATCGAATTGTGTAGTCTAATGAAGAACGTTTCAATTATATTTAGATACATTATGAAACCTTAAACAAGCAAATTCCCGAACAAATCGAATATCTGATAAATCTAACCTGGTTAAAAACGAACGTACCTAGATTTAGACTTCTTAATAGCATTTGTTGATCGTTCAAACTTGAGAGGCTTGCTCCAAGCATTTTTAGAGGGTATATTTGACGGTGCTGATGTAGATAATCCCACACTGAAAAAAGTTGTGGAATGTTATTAAAAAGTAAATTTGTTATTAAAAGTTGATATTTAAATTTTTCTCAACCTTGTCAAATGGTCATTACTTTAAATTGCAATATCTTTATCAGTTTTTTTGTTAGAAATATTGCAAAAATGTTAGCAGATTATAAAGTGACAACGTGCAGTAAAAATATCTAAATACTGTTGAACTTACTTCAGATCAATAGTATTTAAAGAATCCCACACGTTAATAGGTTGATTGTCAGACTCAACAGATTCACTTGAAAGCTTCTTCCCATCATCTATCGACATTGATTGGAAATTTGGGGTAAAGAAATCAGTGAAAAATGACTCCGAGCTTTCCCGTTGATATACAACCAACTCTTCCTTTCCATTAGGTGCAGTCTGACTAGGCACAGCCGACGAAGAAGAAGAAGGCTCCAAATTAGTCAGGCTTCCAGAGGGATGATTAAGAAAATCTCGAACTTTCATCGATTCGATATTATGGGTAGGAGATATGGTTGATGGTGGAGTAGATAATGGAGGGGTGTTATTCAAGTAACCCATAATACGAGATTGCCCAGGTGATGAAGATATCAAACTATTCTGATTATCCGGCAGTCCAAAGCAGGTTGAGGTTGGTAGACTATGATATGTATAAGTGTCCACAGGGTCTCCGTTGGACCATTGCTGGTTCCATGATTTAGGTTGATCCTCAAATAGGTTGCTGTGATTGGTAAAAAATGATGATTCAGATGGAGAATCCTTGTTGAGAAAAGAACTATCAAAATTAGAGTTGGGCAGATCAGAACTGATTTCTCTGGCAGTAAATGGATCGTAAGAACCCGTATTTTCTTCAGGATTGTGTCCAAAGAAGGAATTTGTGTTAAACATGTGATTAAAAGTTGGAAATGCTCCTTTGTTAAATGATTGCTCCGATTCCTTCATTGAATTAGAGTTGAAGTCTGCTTCGAAAATGTTCATGACCATTGGGCTTGTATCAGTGTATAGCGCTAGCTGTAAAATAGAATGAGTTAGACAAGAAATATATATTGTTCCTAGTAATTAAAATAAATAATTGCCACCGAATTTTATATTGCAATCTAATCTAAACGATTGCTACTGCTACCCACGAACATCATGTTATGTGCTTACAAAATATAAAACATCTTGACAATTGACACTTTATACTTAAGGAGGGTGTTCTCTCACAGAACTAGAGTAATAATATCAGCAAAACTTATTACTTCAATGACAATTTTATTAGCATTCTTGAACAGTTGATGAAGTCATACATCAATTAAGTGACAAAAAATTAAATCGGATTGCCCATTGAGAAAAGACAATTTAATTCGGCTCAATCTCTTGAATTAAATCTTTTAAAGCTCTTCTAAAAGATTTCCTATATATACACTGTCTCTTAACGAACTTAAGAAACTTTATCAATAAAATATATAAGTCATATATGTAAGAATTTTAATTATTTGGTTCCATACTATGCATAAATATTACTGTTAGCTTTTCAATCACAAGTGTCCAGTTGTCACCTAGTATAAAGGTACATTTCTGGGATGTTGAGATTAAACACTGCTGAGTATAAGTTTTATCTTAAAAGTCGTGTTATTAGACCAAATTTTGCTACAAGACTACTATTACAGTATTACATCACCCTACTGTAACTTTGATTGGAAACGTGTTACAAATTAGCCTTGAAATTCAGTCAAGGCTGCACCTCCAAGAGTTATATTGGAGTTACTGATCAAATTTCAGGATTTAAAGAAAAGCTATGTGATTACATTGAATGATCAAAATGGTGCATTCAGCAAAAAGCAACTCAGATACAAAATACAATCTGAACTGATTGAGTTTTTCAAAATGGTCATAGCCCTTTTTGATAACTTTGTTTCTCTAATTCGTCGAATCTTACATTTCTAATCGTAGAGGATCCATGAAAACTAATTCATTATCAATCAATCACGGTAAAGTATGACGAAGAAAACACATAGAGTCGACTATTGAGAAACAGAGAACTTGATAGAAACGATGGGAATTAAGTGTGCAATTGACAAATCAAGTCAAATAATAATGACACAAACATTGTTACAAGTCATCATAAATGTTTCTACACAAATTCAAAAATGCAACTAAAATTCTAGATTCAAAGACCCAGTAAAAATTTATACTTTCCACTACTATATAAGTTTAAAAAACGTTTCTCAGCAACATAGGGATTAAATCTAAGATATTCATTATGTTTTTCTTTATTAATAACATAATTGGTTCCTCATGCCTCAACTTTATTCGAAACATTCAAAAAATAACAATCATTTAAAAAAACTTTTAGAAATAATTTCTTTCTTAAATACATCTAATTTAATTTTAAAGCATAAAACTGTCACCGAGTTCGTAAAAAACTCCCTCTAGAGGGAGTTTATTCCAAAATAGATAACTCACTCCAGGAGAAAAGACTTTTGGATATACATGAAAATATAGTCAATAATTTGAATGCGATAATTGAACATCGAAACGATAATCAAAAGGAGGCGAAAGGGTTTTGAAATGCAACAGTGACACCTAAAATTCGTAAGTTATTCTTGTAAGAACATGACTCTCACCGTTCTCGAAATAAATTATTCAAACAATATACACATAATATAGCAATGACCCTATATACAAATTCTGTAAAAATGGTACAAATTTAAAAACTGAGGTAAAAATAAAACCCTTTGTAATAATATATATAAAATCCACTAAATCACATCACAACAAAAAGCAGTTTAGACCCCCATCCAACAAGCACTCCATGACCTTTTAGGGTTTAGGAGTGTTGATCAGGTTAAGGTCCAAATCACTTATTGCCGTGGGTGGAAGGGTTCTGGTACCTCTGTACCCCCTGATAGAGATTATACAGGTTCTGAGTAGATCAAAACGCAGTCTGCGTCTGACAAATGACATCACATCACAATATCGTTGGCCTTTCTTTAGGCTGATCTTTTCAGCGAGATGTTTTAGGAACTGTGAAGCCTCGGTTGCCATTCCTCCTGTAGTACTGAACACCAGTGGCGTGAAGGTAGCCTTTTCAACATTTAGGACTCTGTCATTGTACTCACGTTTTTTGCTTTTCTCGTGAGATTGGTACATCTGTGAGATGCTCTTGTCACTGTTGGACTGGGCTTGAGGGTGAAGTACCCTTACATCTGTGAATGCCCTGTCCAGCGGCGACCAAAACGATCTCTCACTGATGTCCAGTCTTGCACCATCCTGTCTATTTGTTCCATTAGATAGTTCAAGTGTGGGTGGAACGGAGAGAAGCTGGGGTTCTGTTTCAACGTCTTTGCAAACAGTGGTTAGGAGTTCAGCTATTGTATCTCTTAGTGAATTGTGTCTAAGTGAAACGTAGCCTCCGATTTTGCAGGTTAGGGTATGGTTGATATGATTTTGATTTCCACATACACATAGGGGACTTCTGTTAGCTGTAGATAGTGTAAGATTATATCTGAGTGAGAGGGCATCAAAGAATTCTTGTTTGTTAAGGACGTACCCACATGCTTTTAGCGGGAGTGTGGATAACCAAATGGATGCTCCTTTTTCACTAAGGAGTTCTAATTGCCTTTGTGTTGATGGGGATACCTCATTCATAATAGTTTCACGTTGGTGTTTGTAAAGCTCTTCCTTACGCTTCTTTCCTTCACTTATGATTTCATGCTGCAGTTCTTCGTTTAGATGGAAAGTAGTAAGCTGTTGAAAAACTGCTTCTGTGAGCTGTTTTGTAGCATTTACTGAGTTAGTGTACTCCATCTCTGCTGTTGATGTGCAGTCTGGAATGCTCAGCCCGCCCAATCTTGCAGGAAGTGAAGCTATTTTTCTGATTTGATCGGGCACAAAACTTTTGCCCATAATGGCTGGTATAAAGTCTTCCTTGACACAATATTCCAAGAGTTTCAGATGGTCGGAAATCCCTGGGGTTGTACGGCAAACAAAATTCCATCTTTTGGAGGTTCCGTAGATGAAAGCGGAGTAGGCTAGCTGGGGTTTGTTTGCAGCTATTTCGACCAGTCCAAGAATGTCTGCTTTCCAACTTTCGGTCTCCTTTAGTATGAACTCTTTTACTCCTTCTTCTGATCCAATATATGACCCAAGATAACGGTGGCCTTTGGTAGTGATCTGAACATCTGGAAAGAGTTCCTTAGCTTTGGTTGCATGCTCTGGTTTCACTATCAACCATGTCTTGCTGGGTTTTGGGTAATACCCATATGTTATTACTGTTCACACCTTTCTCTCTCTTTCGTGACAGAATACTTCTAACCGTGCTTACCCTTTCTAGCAATGACTACCAAAGAAGGATAACCGATTGGACTGGGGAGGAGTGGAACATTGGCAGCACACTACCGTCCAATCGGTAAGTATTTACAATGTTTAGTTATTAGGTATATATTTGGAATTGGTTTAATTTGGTTGTAAAGTTATTCTATTATGTAATAAAGTATTGTGTTTTACAGGTTTTGTACATACGACAATTACTGGTTTTAATTGGTCAACTTAGAGTCATCTAACAGTGATAGCAGGAAGCAGGACGATCTACCCAACGACCTAACAACTGTGGAACTTTTGTTTTCTTTTGAGAGACATTGAGAGACATTTTGGAGTTTTTTTAGAGACACTTTGGGAGTTTTTTTTTAGTCAAACGGTAATCATGAGTCTTCGTGAGATACCTGTGTTAGACGATAGCGCTGACTACAGCACGTGGAAAAAAAAGTGCTTATATGGCAGCTTGGAACCGGAGCATCAGTGAAACAGCAAGCAAGTAAACTTATCATGAACATGAATGGGAAACCACAGGAGGTTTCTATAAATATACCAATAAAGGTTCTAGGAGCTGAAGATGGAGTTGATAAACTCATTGCTGAACTGGACAAACTGTACAAGAAGGACGGTACTCAGTCTTTATTTAAGGCAATAGACGACTTTGAGAGATATAGAAGAGGAGATGGAGAAGATATCGACAACTACATCTTGGAATTCCAGCGGAGGTATCAGATCCTTAAACAGCTGAGAGAAAGCAAAGAGCTCTATGACGATATGATATTAGCATATAGACTGTTAAATCAGGCTAGCCTAAACGATGAACAGGCCAGATTAGTTAGAGCAACTTGCACTAGTACATTATCTTATAACTTGATGCAAGAACAGTTAAAAAGGACATTTGGAGATGGATTTACAAGGAATGAGAATCAATCCAGTCTGCCTTTCAAAAGTACTCCAATGGAGGTGGTAAAGCAGGAACCCGTCTTTCTAACTGAGGATCAGCAAATGGGGTCTGACGTGCACTGGACTAGAAATGGGGATCATCAAAGAAACTTCACTGGTCAACCTATGAGAGGGGAAAACAGATATAACCCTTACGGTCAGAATAGAGGGCAGTCTAGATTCAACCCATATGCACAGAAACGAGGACAAAAGTCTTACATGAGGGGGAGCAGTAACCAAAGGATCAGTTGTTTTATATGCCATCAACCAGGTCATGTTGTCGCTGAGTGTTCTTTTAACACATTCGCTAAATCTCATCAAAAACAAGATGATGACTCTCGCAGAAAGGTCTACGCTTTATTTGAATCAGATTTTTCACTTCCAGATTGCGAAGAAGAGATAATTTACTTAACAGGTGAATGTACGAACAAAGCGTTGATAGATACAGGGGCATGTGCAACCATCTGTGGAAAGGAGTGGTTTACAGTGTATGAAAGCTCTTTGACTACAGAAGAGATGAAACTGATACAGACTGAGACTACTGAAAGGACATTTCGATTTGGAGATGGTAAGCCAGTGAAGTCGATTGCTTTGAAAACTATACCTATTAACCTTTGCAACAAAGATATGTTTTTGAAAACATACGTGGTGACGAACGATATTCCTCTTTTGCTAGCGAAGCAAACCATGACGAAAATGGGTATGGTACTAGACATGGAAAATATGACCCTAAAAATAAAAGACAGCAAAACACTGGAGAAGTTGC